TAAAAGCAGACATTTTCGGTGGTGTCTATTTTCGGTAACTTCGGACCAGTTCGGTGCTGACAATTTTTACCGAAAATAAAACCCACCGAAAATGTTGGTACAACCTGTACTGTATACATGCAGAACTAGTAGTACACTTACCTGGTGGAAAACGGGTTTTACCGAAAATTTCCCTCCACCGAACCGCCGATTTTGGAGAATACCGAAAATATTACACCACCGAAAATTTCTGCTTTTACAGTATGTAGACTACGTGCACATATCGTGGTCTTTGTGGTCCACTTTCACAACAATAACACAAACATGCACAGAAGTCTCTGCTAGCTGCTGTGAGCACGGTGGCTCGGCAACGGCTTTATTTATTGATATTATTTTAATACTATCTCTTTCTTGATTTTTGTTCTTCTTTTTTTCCTTGCATAATTGTATGCATAGAGCCTGGTAAGAAAAAATATGCACAAGACACTGCTGCTACTGTAGTCGCACAGCAAAACACACAGAAAGCGACAAAATGTTACAATGAATGTAACAACACCCGTCCATGCTAAAGGACCTATATCCCTGCCCAAGGACGGCATCTCTAAATCCCCACACACTCACCACACGGTCATCATCCAGCTTCAGTTCAATCACTGTATTCTTCCCCTGCAGACTCAACCCCCCTCCCCCTGTCACTATACTAGCCATACAATCTGAAGCTGTATGTAACCACGGCATACAATGGCCCACGACGTACACCTCCCCTACGTTTTTTAACTAAAAAAGAAAAGCAGTCGTAACTGCCACAGCCACATGGCCAATATTGGCAATAAGAAAACCAATAAGATATCGATAAACACACACCCAGAAGTCAGGGATGGGAGGGTGGGATACTAACTGCACCAACAATAAGCCACTGCGAAGTGACAGGAATGTGGTCCAGCACAACATTTTTGCTGAAGCAAAACGTTGCGGGGAAATCCCAAAATCGATGCGATTTTGCATGAGCCCCAATGTTCAAGTTACCCACAAAGACACAAGCGTTCCAACTCTCTTTGGCCGTTGAAAAGCGTACCTTCTCTGCATGTGGCACGTGCTCGGCAACAAGATTCAAGATTTCAAACTGCATCATTTTTTTTGTCTTTTGAGATGGATTGCAGTGTAAATCTAGAAAGACGTTGAAAATCAATATCATTACTGAGATATTCCTAAGACTGAGGGTATGACAAATAATTAGTTTGATAAAACGAGTGATTTGGACAATCCCTGAACTCCGGCATCATGGTGCTGTGACTGCTGTCCACGTAGATATACTAGAATGTGCCATGACCAAAGTGTGCCGCTCCAACATGGACAGTGACCATCGTGATTTCCTGCAATAGGCACACAAACGGTAGTGCACAACAGAATTGACACACATTGTCATAAACGACCTGCCCAGGGCTGCTGAACGCGGCGATAACGTATCTCAAAGTTTGGGGCTTTTTGCCCGTACATCCTGTCTTGGAACTCAAGCCAGTTACAGCACGGTCAAATTTCGTGGGGCACTGCCTACGAGTGCAAGCGGCCTACTAGCAAACCAAAAATTTAAGCAATTCCAGCGCCCACATTGCACCTGTGCCCATTTACCTACAGGTACATTGAAAAGAACACAAGCGCACAAATGGTCAAAAATTCACCACTTCTCACCTTTCCGACTATTCACAGCTGCAACATGGACAGTGACCACCGTGAATTCCTGCAATATTCACACAAAGGGTAGTGCACAACAGAAATGACACACATTGTCATATACGACCTGCCCAAGGCTGCTGAAAGCTGAAAATTACCTATCTCCAAGTTTGGGGCTTTTTCAGCCCGTGCATCCGGACTTGGAACTCAAGGCAGTTACAGCAGGGTCAAATTTCCTGGGGCACTGCCTACGAGTGCAAGCGGCCTACTAGCAAACAATAAATATAAGCTAATCTAGCACCCACGTTGAAGCTGGGCCCATTTACCCACAGGTACATCATCAGGAAAAAGAACACAAGCGCAGAAATGGTCCAAAATTCACCATTTCTCACCTTTCCCACTATCCACACCTGCAACTTGGACGGTGACTATCGTGAATTCCTAAAACAGACACACAAAGGGTAGTGCACAACAGAAAGGACACACATTGTCATAAACGACCTGCCCAGGGCTGCTGGACCCTAAAAATTACCTATCTCCCAGTTTGGGGCTTTTTGCCCGTGCATCCGCACTTGGAAGTCAAGCCAGTTACAGCAGGGTCAAATTTCCTTGGGCACTGCCTACGAGTGCAAGCGGCCTACTAGCAAACGAAAAATCTAAGCAATTCCAGCACCCACATTGCAGCTGGGCCCATTTACACACACACTTACATTGAAACGAACAGGTGCGCACAAATGGTCAAAATTTACCTATTTCTCACCTTTCCGACTATTCACAGCTGCAACATGTACATTGACCACCGTGAATTCCTGCAATAGTCACACAACGGGAAGTGCACAACAGAAATGCCAGACATTGTCATAAACGACCTGCCCAGGGCTGCTGAAACCTTAAATTAGCCCGTGCTTCACACAGCCGGACATGTACATGCGCGTGCATGCGGACCCACACGCATGAACGAGCACACACAGAATAGTCTGGTTGAGTTAAATAGGATAGGTGGAGTTCTGGATTCGAACAACTGGTGCAATGTCACGTGACTCGGCAAATGAGTCGCAACGCGAAAAGACTCTGCTGAGTCGCAAACAGGCAATGACTCTGCAACTGAGTCGCAAGCAAGCAAACAGGGCAAACCAGTTGTGAGCGAACATCCGCACTCCCCGATGTTTTATTTTACTTGTATGTTTTTTAGAATTGAATATGGCAAGTTACAGCGAATGCAAGTGCAGACCACATAGGCTGCAGAGAATATAGCAACATGTTAACGTAGAGCAACAGCTATAGGGTGGGTGTTGGTGGGGGAGAAAAAGCTAGGAGCAAAACTGTGAAAGCCAGGCAACAGCAGCGAACTCTACTTTCACAAAGGCAAAACTCAAAGCAAGGCACGTGGGAAAAGTTTGGAGCAGAAGAAATACGAGGTGTGAGCTGCAACCTCTCTTGGCGCGGTTTCGGAGCTGCGCTGTAGATTAGCGCCGTGAATCTGTGTGATTGAATAGTGTAATCAAGCTGCCACCTGGCAGGTGTTCATGCGGCGCTAACACGCTCTAGCCACTGGCTAGTGCGCCATTAGCCCGTGCTTCACACAGCCGGACATGTACATGCGCGTGCATGCGGACCCACACGCATGAACGAGCACACACAGAATAGTCTGGTTGAGTTAAATTGGATAGGTGGAGTGTTGGATTCGAACAACTGGTGCAATGTCACGTGACTCGGCAAATGAGTCGCAACGCGAAAAGACTCTGCTGAGTCGCGAACAGGCAATGACTCTGCAACTGAGTCGCAAGCAAGCAAACAGGGCAAACCAGTTGTGAACGAACATCCGCGAATCCAGCACACCACGTAAATATTCAGAATTGCTAGGCCAAAATTCAGACCAAATGGCTAACCTTTGCAAGCTGTGACGACACACTGTACTTAAGGGATGCTGGCATACGCATGTACCGCAAACATACATCACTCTTCCAGCGTCCAGCGGCGCGGATCAGAGAGTCGGGCACACCGGCCATTGCGGCTGTCGTAGCAGCACCAATGCGGAATGAGTGCCCGGAATACAGGTGCAGGTTTGGCGCGCCAGATACTGCCAGCAATGAACGTACAGTGGTGGTAAATGCCGCACGAGTAAGCTTCGGTCCATCTGAGAGCACAAACAGTGGCCCAGTGGATGGATGATGGCGGGTAGTGAGCAGGTATGCTGTCATCGCTGCTACGGGGCAGTACGGTTGCGTGGCTCGGCCAACGAACACTGTGACCCCACTGCCTAGTGGATCTGTTTTGACTTTGGCAGGAACAGCTGCATGTTGCCGTCTGCGAGTTGAGCATCAGTCCTCCGAGTCTCCCCTGTATCCTCGGAACAGCAAAGGAAGCCGTAAAATGCAAGCAGCATATATGCTTGGTACAGCAGACGGTCATGTCGGCTGAGTAGTTCCGTCAACTGGCACGCATCCACTATTTTGCGGAGCACAGGCATGGTAATAGGAAGGCGAGGTGTGATAACAGCTGTGCCATGGCACTGTCCAATGCCCTTTACTACTCGTTTCAGCAGCCAGGCATCTTCCAGCGGATCACCCAAGCCTTGTTCAATTTGGGCGTTGCGCACCGCACTGAGGTACACAGAGATTGTACATGGTCGTGCTGAGCGAGCGAAGAATGCGGCAAAGCAACTTAGCTGATAGTCAGTAGCTGGGAAGGGTTTCCAGAGGCACCACTGGCAGTAACCACTATATCTGCTCTCACCGGTCGAATAGGTGTGCCGTGTGTTCGGGGCAATGGCGCATGCAGCGTAGACGCTTACTTCCCCATGTACTGGGGCCATATCACGTTGTCCGGCAGGTTCTTGGCGCTGGGAGCGAGCTGCCGGAATGCCTGCATAGAGAAGCGTGACAGAGAATCAGCAATCAGGTTCTTGTTCCCTGCAATATAGATGGCTGAAATGGTAAAGTTATGTTTGGCGCAGACAAAGAAAAGTCCGCGGAGTAGTTGCATCACTGATTTACTACTGCCCGACTTTACACAGTCCACGACTGCAGCATTGTCGCAGTGAATAAGGATACGGAGCTTTGCCCAAGCATGGCCCCAAGTGGCGCAAGCGACTAGCAGGGCATACAGCTCCTTCCAAGTGATGTCTCTCTCCACTTCTTCTCGGGTCCAAGCGCCGTTGATCCACCGGCCGTTGTTGTTGTAGGCTCCCCAGCCACGTGAACTGCTTGCGTCTGTGTAGAGTAGTAGATCTGGCGATGGAGTCCAGTTTGGGTGCAAGAAGAACGATTTACCGTTCCAGTGTTGCAGCAGGTGCTGCCACCACCTGATATCTTCCATAGCATCAGAGTCCAGTACTATCTTGTAGTGGGGCTCTTGATACCTGCTGCACACCGACCAAAGCCGTCGAAGAAATGTGCGCCCTGGGACGACCACCTGTGCTGCAAAGGAGAGCTTCCCCAAAAGGGACTCGAGGCTGCGCTGAGAAATAGAGTTACGCTGGAGGGTGGCAGTAAGCAGAGATCTGAGCTCAGTCAGTTTGTCGGATGGGAGCCTGGCTTGCTTGGAAACGCAGTCCAACTCTATTCCAAGAAATGTAAGACACTGAGCAGGGCCTTCTAACTTGTCTGGGGCCAGGGGTACGCCTAAGAGCATGAATGCGCGAAGCAAGTTAGCCAGCTGGCGGTTAGCAACAGAAAGGCTAGGAACGGCGTTCAGAAAGTCATCTAAGTAATGCAAAATATCACTTATGGAGGAATGATGCTTTATGATCCATTCAATAGCATCAGCAACGGTGTTGAAAATGAAGGAACTAGAGCGCAAACCAAAAGGGAGCACTTGTTCGTAATAGTAACGGCCTTGCCAAAAAGTACCAAGCAGTGGGAAATCTTCGATGCGTACTGGGATCTGCCTGAAGGCGCTCTTGACATCCAGTTTTGACATGTAAACTGGAGGGGTAAAGACATAATGATATTGATGGCATCATCAATAGTAACATATTGCAGCGAGAATATATCAGTAGGTATGCCGTCATTGACACTCGTCCCGAGTGGGCTAGACAGGTGGTGGATCATGCGCATTTTGCCGTTTTTCTTTGGCACTGCACCGACGCCCGAGCAATGCATGAACGAGAAAGGGGGTGAAGTGAAGGGGCCAGCAGTTTCCCTTCGACTACAGGAGGCAGCTAACTGGTCTGATATAAACTGAGCGTGTTTAGCAGCGGAAGGGAGATTAGGAGAATTAACGTTAACAGTACGATCACCTGAAAAGCCAATATCGAAGCCATGATGCAAGCCGTGCAGACCATATCGTGAAAACTGTGGGTCTGGGTGGGTAGATACTAAGATAGCAAGGAAGAAAAGCGGGTAACATGCAAAGGTGAGCGGAATGTGGAAGCGTGGAGAGTACTGGCTGAAGGCAAACTATCGGAGTTGCTGACTTTTCTGAGAAGTGGTTCGGGATTTGGTCCCAGCCTTAGGGCACTGTTGGCGGGAATGTGTTGCAGACATGGTGGAAGCGGCAGGACGACTTGTGCTGGCACTGGCCGGAGTTACATTTACGGAAGATGATTCGGCCGCTCTCAGAACGGGTGAGCGTGGACCCGTGCTGATACTGCTGGGGGCTTCTGTTGGGACGAAAAAGACACTGACTGGACGAAGGGTGCACAGTGTGGAATACTGGACATGCTGGTCTGCTGGTCTGGCCTTACCCGTGACGGATAGCTGCCACAGATTGTTGTTGATAATGTCAAGGCGCTTGCCTGGCTGCAGCGAGGCTGACAGCCGAAGTTGCTGGTCATAGCTGAGCCAAACAGCTGGCAGATACTGGCGGCTGGCTTTGAGGATGATGGACTGGTACGCCAACAATTCGTGGAGACGGTGTGGTGCGTGAGTACAGACAACCCCAGTGTACAAGGTCCAGGCCTCTAGCCATGTTGCGATGTCATGTATCCGCCGCTTGACTTGGCGACCGTCGCTGGTTTCAACCAGTTCCAGCGACTGCTTACTTCCCCCAGACTGATTGGGGGTACGAAGCTCGAACGAGCGGGATTCACGTTGGGAGAAAGAATTGCTTAGCCCCTCTGGCAACAGTAAGTTCAGCTCAATGAACTCACCTTTCACGATGCGATCTTGCAGTGACTTAGGCGCGAGGAGGTGAGCTGCTGCCGAGGTTTCGGTACTGCTAGCCACCAGCGCAGGTGCAATGGAGCTCAATCCGGGGATAGAAGGAGCAGGATTGGACAGGGTCACAGCTGCCTGGGTTTGAGAGGCCGCCTCTGGTGCTACCAACAACGCTGTACCGATTGCAGCTGATACTTCTTCGCGCACCAGACGCCGCAGTTCCTGCTGAAAGTTGTCACGATCCGAATTATCCGGGTCCTCCGTAACAGCAAAAGAAGCCGCATAAGCGGCAGTAGCAGGAACGAAGTCCTCATGTTCGTCTACGGCTCACTCGAGTCGGTTTATCAGGACCGATTTGGTGCCAGATGGGTCTAGGCCACGCTTTTTGAGCTGTTCACGCAGCTCGGCGACACACAATCTCTGCAACGACTGATTTAAACTCATCGTATGCGCTGTTCAAGGAGAAACAGCTACGAGGCAGCTACGAGGCTACGGACAAAACTGCAAAAGCTAGGCAGCGAGGAAAAGCTAGGAGCTGAAGAAAAAGCTAGGAGCAAAACTGTGAAAGCCAGGCAACAGCAGCGAACTCTACTTTCACAAAGGCAACACTCAAAGCAAGGCACATGGGAAAAGTTTGGATCAGAAGAAATGTGAGGTGTGAGCTGCAACCTCTCTTGGCGCGGTTTCGGAGCTGCGCTGTAGATTAGTGCCGTGAATCTGCGTGATTGAATAGTGTAATCAAGCTGCCACCTGGCAGGTGTTCATGCGGCGCTAACACGCTCTAGCCACTGGCTAGTGCGCCAATAACCGATCTCCAAGTACGGGGCTTTTTGCCAGTGCATCCGGACTTGGAACTCAAACCTGTTACCGCAGGGTCTAGTTTCCTGGGGCACTATCTGCGAGTGCAAGCGGACTACTAACAAACCAAAAATCTAAGCAATTCCAGCACCCACACTGCAGCTGGGCCCATTTACACGCACTTACATTGAAACGAACAGGTGCGCACAAATGGTCAAAATTTCCCTATTTCTCACCTTTCCGACTATTCACATATGCAACATGGACAGTGACTATCGTGAGTTCTTACAAAAGACACACAAAGGGTAGTGCATAGCAAGAATGACACACACTGTCATAAACGACTTGCCCAGGGCTGCTTAACCCTAAAAATTACCAATATCCCAGTTTGGGGCTTTTTGCCCGTGCATCCGGAATTGGAACTCAAGCCAGTTACAGCAGGGTCAAATTTCCTGGGACACTGCCTACGACTGCAAGCGGCCGACCAGCAAACGAAAAATTTAAGCAAATCCAGCACCCACATTGATGCTGGGCCCATTTACCCACAGGTACATTGAAAAGAACACAAGCGCAGAAATGGTCCAAAATTCACTATTCCTCACCTTTCCGACTATTCACACCTGCAACTTGGACAGTGACCATCGCTATTTCCTACAACAGACACACAAAGGGTAGTGCACAACATTGAAAAAAAACGAGTGCGCAGGAATGGTCAACAATTCACCATTTCTCACCTTTCCGACTATTTACAGCTGCAACATGGACAGTGACCACCGTGCTTTCTTGTAATAAAAAAATGGAATTTTGACAAAATCTGGGTCCTGGCATCGGGGATCACCAGCGCAAACAGTTCATATCGCTTTTTTTGGTCAAAATTGTATGGGACCGGTGTTGGGGCACATTGCAAGAGACGGGCACTGGGCGCTGACTGGCTTTGCTGGCGATTGCTCGCGATGATGTGCCGTATGATTTGGCACGCATTGGACTGGCTCACATAATCGCAATGCGCCCACCACCGGTGCCTCCTGGCGCGTGCCGTCAATATGTGAACCAAGTGTAAGGGTGCCGGACCCGGTCTTCCCATCGGATTTCAGTGTCCACTGCAGTAGCAAACTTCGGTCTGTATCTTACTGAGTGACACAATTTTTCCCTTTAGTAGGATGCAACTATTAGAAAGAATTTAAAAAATATTTACTTGGATACTGAGCCAGTCATAAAAATGTAAAGGAGAAAAGAGAACACATGAGAACGAGTTATGCAGCAACTACCCACGACTGTAACAAGATGATAAACAGTCCAAAAGTCTCAAGTCGCTGAATGTCTTAGTAGTTTGTCAGTTTCTTGCCCTATTACAGTCAAATCTGTCGTAAACGACCGCCCCTTGGTGCAAGAAAAAGCGGTCTCTTACGGCAGATGGTCTCTTACGGCAGATGTATGGTAAATCCGGCATACCGGGCATGCATATATGCTTCCATGTACTCAAATCGACGAGAATGATGTGATTTTTAATATGATTTTATTGGATATTCAATAGAATATAGGGGTGAACAAACCCAAGAATAGTGCACATACCAGGGCTAATCTTTTACATGTTCAGCCAGCTGTCAAGGTTTCCCTGTTCAAGTTCGGACTAGCGAAGCATCTCCTCCTTGTAAAATTTTGTCAGTTGCCTGTGTGACCAGATCCAGTATGCTGTCAAGGCCTCTCTGCAAGGCATACTTCTTGAGTCCATCAATGTGCTGAACTGCCTGCTTACCAGAGATGGCGTTAGCGACCAATCCATCCTCTGTGTCGCTTTTGTCATCAACATCATCGTCATCATTTTGCTGCGCTTCACCTCTTGCAGCAGCCAAGATCTCTTCCTCCCAATTGGGACTGAGGGTCTCTCCTGTACTGACGTCATCATCAAATGCTACAAATTCTTCAAATGACACGTTGCTTAGGACTGTGTCAGCACCAGGACAGTCGGAATCTTCAACTTCACACACCTCATTGGGAGCAACATCCTTGAACTCACAACTTGCAAAACACTTGCTGATTGTTGTCTGTGCTACATCCTTACATCCCGAAACAGTCCACAGTATGGCGTCCAACACTGTCAGTTTCTTTGCCACTTCTGACACAGATTCTGTTCCCTCCATGTGACCAAGCAGGTGCTGTAACATCCTCTTCCTGTACTTGAGCTTCAATGCGACGAGCCAACCGTTCGACGCAGCAAAATCATTATGGCCCATCACTTTCGCCAGTTGCAGGGCTTTCTCTTGAAGGAGAGGACCAGTCAGTGGCAAACAACGCGCCCGGGCTTTGGTAAACCAATCCCACATTGCAGAGTTTACATCGCCGTACTTCGCCTTTCCTGACAATCGACGAAGTTAGCTGGATGTCCCTGCCTTGAAGACGTCCATGATCTTCTCCTTGTCCTTGATGATTGGCTGGATCTGAGCTTTCCCGACACCTATGCGGTTTGCGATCGACCGTGCAGATTCACCTTTCTCGGATTTCCGAATCACATCCACTCTCTCGCTGAGGGAGAGACAGCGACGCTTCTTGCTGGAGGATGTAGCCATGGTCCATATCATGCGAAAGCCAACTACACTCCAACGAGGCTGCCGTGAACGTCGCTGTTCTGTTTTGTAGCTGCCGTGAACGTCGCTGTTCTTGTTTTGTAGCCTACAGGAAGGGCGTTTCATTATAACTGCGTGCGTACATATACATGTGTACGGAGTCTACGGTGAGTGTGACGTGCATACATATATATGTACGGAGTCTACGGTGAGTGTGACGTGCATACATATACATGTGTACGGAGTCTACGGTGAGTGTGACGTGCATACATATACATGTGTACGGAGTCTACGGTGAGTGTGGAGTGCATACATATACATGTGTACGGAGTCTACGGTGAGTGTGACGTGCATACCTACAACGACCATGCCCGTATACGCGTATGCGACGCGGCAGTAGATCGACACTGCCTGGACTTGAGAGCTACAGCGCAGCCTCAGTACAGGCCAGGGCCAGTCGATCGCACTTGCAAGACAGCGCATTTTGACACCTTGTAGTTGACAGCGCACTGGCAAGTACAGTTTCGCACCTGACTGAACCTGGGTCGCGGTCGCTTACAGCAGATTTGAATGCAGCCACCGTGCATGAAATCACGGTCGCTGGTCTCGCACATGGTCGCTCTGGACAGATCAGTTTGTATGTGAAACTGTCGGTGCACGGAAAATCGGTCGCTAACGGTAGATGGTCGCCTACAGCAGAGGTCGCTAACGGCAGTTTTGACTGTATCGCACTTTCTGACTGTTTATCATCTTGTTACAGTCAAGGATAGTTGCTGCATAACTCGTTCTCATGTGTTTTCTTTTTTTTTACCTAAAAATATCATTGCTATTAGCAGCATGCTTGTTGCCGTACTTGTACGGCCATTTTTCCACCTCACCTTTATCCCAAGTCCAAGTTGATAAATCAGTAGAGGGGGGAGAAACCTCTCCCCTTCAACAGATGTGGCATTTGAAGGAAGAAATTGTGAACTTCTGCATCCCTTCATAAGCAAGTAAATTGCGGACTTTGCGCGCCGCGCACCACTGGTTCTGACGATACTCTACAAAATTTTAAATAGTTCTCACTCAGAGGAAAACAGTAAGACTGTGTAGATTCTACTAGCGTCGCTTAGGAAACGCTCGCTATGCGCCCAGGATGCCACGCTAGTCTGGCTGAGGACCGGCAATACTAGGGCAATGCTCGCCACCATCACGCAACATTCTACTCAACATGAACTGTCAAAGTCTGCGCGAGATGTTCTGCAAGTCGGTACCGCCGATCCTCTACAACGATTACGTGCTGGTACATGTACAAACATTTCCTTGCTGCTCGAGTACCGGTCCTCAGTCTCAGACTCAGTAGATCTACACTACACTGTCCATGGTACACTCACTACTACACTAGTCTAGTGTGAACAGTGTCACCATGGTCACCAGGTCACCATGGTCACCAGGTCAGTGTGTCCTGTGTACATGGTGTACATGCATGTGGTGTGTTGGCCGTTATCATGGTTTACAATAGATCATGTACCTGATGTAGATCGAGTAGACCATGGTAGACGGGTATACTCTACACGGCAATCATTGTAGACCAGGGAGTCGTATACGGTATAGACGCACGCAGCTATATACGACTCCCTGATTCTAAGCTACAGTAATCATGGTAATGAACACCGGTATGTAGATCTACATCATAGACTATAGACTATAGACTATAGACTAGTATAGACTATAGACTATAGACTATAGACTATAGACTAGTATAGACTATAGACTATAGTACATACAGTCAGGAGAATCAGGCCACCACACTGACTGTGTCGCTTCATCGTACTTCGTAGCATCGCTTGCTCGATCGTGGAACCAGGTGCTGAGCTGCGGTTGGTGACCGGGGACGAAGCAGAGCATCGATGTATTTTTAGTTTTACTCTGATTTAGCATCCGCTGAAGTGGCCGTTGGCCTTTGGAGTTTGGTACAGTCATGTAGATTTGTAGAAGTAGACCGGTCACACATTCACACAGATCGGATGCTCTGACTGTAACATTGGACGTTGAGTTTTGACTTCCGTTCGGCGACGTGAAGGCCGGATCCCAAATGGACTCGCTCTCGCCCTGCGCAGCTGCAGGATACTGCAGCTATATTACTAGCTTGTCCGCATGCAGTAGATCTACTCTAATCTCTATCGACTAGAGTCTCTACACTACAGCTGTCACTCCTGGGTTTCGTGCGGGCGCACTTAGTCTGTACTGTGTCTGTGGCACTGCAATCACTCACGCTGGCATGAACTCTGGTCTCGTAGATCTACACAACGGTACAGGCACTGCCCAAGCGCACGCACAGGTTGAAACCAGGGAGTTTGTATGACTCCCTGGTCGAAACTATGTGACTGCGCTGCTACTGAGTGCGTTGCCTGCGAGTAGGGTTGTCTCCTCCTCGTCCTGCGAGCACAACCACACTGTGCTTGTCGAGATTTCACTTGTCTGTGTCCAGTGGAATCTGTCTAACACAACACACTCAATGCTGTCTTTCCCCACGGAAGACCAAGCAATAAAGAAAATATGGTGTCCCAAACGACGATTCCATACGACGTCCTACACCTGTTCCACAGCACCGCTCTATGTCACTTTGTCAGTATCTACATGTACATGCATATGCGCCGGCATCTGGCGAAACGCGAAGAGAACAAACTGATGTATACAGTCTGTATACAGGCCAAGTCACATAGTGAAGCCCGGAACCAGGGCGGCCCTCAGTTTCATCCAGTTCCAACCAGTTTCGCCCAGTTCCAACCAGTTTCACCCAGTTCTAACTGGTCTCGGCAGGTTTGCACCGGTTTCAACGGATTATCGCGCCAATTAGGGCTAAGTACGCATGCGCCGTATACCAAGTAGCACAGCATCTTCTTGACT